TCCACATTATTGTAAAGTATCCACTTTTCATCACCCATTACAGTTTGTTTTTAAAATGGAACATTTCTATTACCTTTCAGTAGAGAATCTCATGCAGAAATAGAATCAAGAAGGTTTTTTTCCTTTTCTAGGTTCAGTTGTTGATAGTTGTGAGTTTGTTGTCATTTTATTGTTCCTAGTTTTGATATTCTTTTTCTTAGATAAGTCCCTTTAACATTTCATATAATAAGGGCTTGGTGATGATGAACTCCTTTAATTTTACTTCGTCTGGGAAGCACTTTATCTGCCCTTCCATTCTCAATGATAGCTTTGTTAAATGGAGTGATCTAGGTTGTGGGTCCTTGCTTTTCATGACTTTGAATGCTTCTTTCCAGCCCTTTCCTTCCTGTAAGGTTTCTTTTTTGAGAAATCAGCTGATATGTATGATCCATAGACATGTACTGTGGGCAGGGGGGTGTAGAATTCTGGAGGGAGGGGTGTTGCAGAGTGGAGGGGGTAAAGGGGAGGGAAAAAATGAGACAACTCTAATAGCATAATCAATAAAATATACTTAAAAATGCAAAAAAAAAAGTATATGAAACTACAAATTTGCTTAAGATCAAAAAAAAAGAAGAAATGTTTTTTCACTTAACTTATATGTAACCAAAACATCAAAATGATGAACAGAACTGAGCTGGTGCAAATGATTTTCAGGGCTTGATTTGGATATTTTGAGTGTGTCAGCCATCTCCCATGCGGTATAATGTTGATGGTTCTCAATTAATGTCTCGATTTGATCGCTATCAACTTCAACTGGTCTACCTGACCCTGGAGCATCATCCAGTGAGAAATCTCCAACACAAAACTTCACAAAACACTTTCAATATGTTCCATCAGTCACAACACTTTCTCCATATACTGCATAAAGCTTTCTTTTTTTTTTTTTTGCATTTCAGTTGTGTTCTTATCTTTCCTGAAATAATAAAGCATAATATCTTGAAAATGTTGCTTGTCTTCTTCCATCTTCAATATTAAAATGGCTACACAAAAATTCACCAATTTTGATTTTTTAAATGCACATTGATATGACAGCTGTCACAATACAATCTAACAAAATTGTTTTGAATGAAGTTACAGACAACTAGCACCCTTAGAGCCATCTTATGGAAAAATACTGAACAAACTTTTTGACCAATCAATATTAACTAATAACCCCAGAAGGTAAATTATACTCTCCCATTTTACAGATGACAAACTGACATATAAAAACAGAAAAATAAAGCCTGGATTACAGAAAGAGGATTCTAGTTTCAAACTGTGTACTCTAATCCACTATACTATGTCACATATGCACTTGAAATTTCAACACTGAAAACCATCACATTCTGCCAACACTGATGTCTAAATGATATGCTATCAAAGGCCTCTGGGTTGCAGAATTCATTACCTTGTAAATGCACCATCAACTAGAGCCTATCTTGAATCTTTCCAGACTGAGAAGCCTGATATTATTTAGTAATCACATCAAAAACAGATCCTTACCTTGCAAGTGGACTCACAATGACTTGGTCCAAGAGATTAATGTTTCAAACTAAATGCCAGTTTATTAACTTACAATGAAAAATAGGACTGTCTATCACATGGACCAGAATATTCATGTCAGCATGACCGGCACACTCTGCCTTTTAGCAGTCATGAAAGGCCAGATCATTCTTGGCAAGTTGGTTGGCCCATGTGGCATCATAACAAGGGATGTTTCTGGGAAGAGCAGGACGTTCATTGGCATCAACTCCATTAGCGTGAGGCATCTACATCATGAGAGCAACAACCTTGCCAATGAGACCTGGAGGACTTCAAGTTTATTGGTCCTTTTCCTGGGACACTTCTGTGCTAGGCACTGACACCATGTATCTGTCATTCTTCTCTTTACTATTATTCTTTTCTTTGCCACATTTCATTGTTAATGCATATTAATATATTCAATCTTGTTATGGTCAAATGTTTCAGTCTAGGACCTTTCTATCTCTTTAGGATAGTTTTTTTTAATTAATTTATTTTTTCAAATACATTTGTCTCTGCCTACCCCCCACCACTTTCCCTTGACCCCTCCCTCCCTCCCTCCCTCCCTTCCTCCCTCAACTCTTCCCCTTTGGTTTTGTCCATGAGTCCTTGCTATATGTTCTTTAGGATAGTTTTTATGTAATTATATTTTCAGATAACATTTTCCTTTTTGGTAACATTCTCAAGATCTAGCACAAAAACTATGTAGCCTTTCCTTCATTGAATATAATTGAGTGATTTTCTTAACAGCAAAAACTAAGTCATATTCATTCCCAGAAGTACATGCATTGCCCAGCACATAAAAAGAGCTCAATGAACACTTCTTGAACAAGCAAGTGAATTAGGAGGTAGTAAAGCAGCATGTTTATGAGTGTAAGCACTGAAACCAGATGGCCGGTTTTCAAATCTCAGCTCCATTACTTAATGGTTTTGTGATTTTGACAAGTTACTTAACCTCCCTAAGCTTCAATTTTTTTATTTGTAAAATGGGCATAATGATAGTACCCTGTTTCCCAGGGTTCCCGAGTTGGTTAAATAAGTAAAAACAGACTTAGAAATGTACCTTAAGCTCCATAACTATTAGTTATTAGTATAATTATTCTCTCAGAATTTTGAATTGTATTTTTACTTTTTTTCTTTTTTTAATTAATTTATTTTTCCAAATACATTTGTCTCTTCTTTATTTTCTATTGAATGCATTGAGGTGACATTGGTTAATAGAAGTACATAGCGTTCAGGTGTACAATTCTATAATGTATCATCTGTATATTGTACTGCGTGACCACCACCCAAAGTGTCCTCCCATCATCATTTATCTCCTCTTTACCCTCTTCTACCGCCCCCCAGTCCCCTTTCCTTCTGGTAGTCACCATACTGTTGTCAGTGTATATGAGATTTTTATTTTTCTTAACCCTTCATCTTTATCACCCAGCCCCTCAACCTCCCTCTACTCTTACATCTGTCAGTCTGTTCTCTGTATCTATGAGTCTGTTTCTATTTTGTTTGTTAGTTTATTTTGTTCATTGGATTCCACATGTAAGTGAAATCATATGGTACTTCTCTTTCTCTGACTGGATAATTTCACTTAGCATAACGCTCTGCAGGTCCATCCATGCTGTCACAAAGGGTAAGATTTCCTCCTTTTTTTTACAACTGGATAGTATTCTATTGTGTAAATGTACCATGGCTTTTTATCTACTCATCTAGTGAGGGACACTTGGGCTGCTTCTAAATCTTGGCTATTGTAAGTAGCACTGCAATGAACATAGAAGTGCGTATATTCTTTCAAATTAGTGCTTTGGGTTTCTTAGGATATATTCCCAGAAGTGGGATCACTGGGTCATAAGGCCATTCCATTTTTAATTCTTTGAGGTAACTTCACACTGCTTTCCACAATGGCTGCACCAGTCTGCATTCCTACTAACAGTGCACAAGGGTTCCCTTTTCTCCCAACCTCACCACCACTTGTTATTTGTTGATTTATTGTTGATAGTCATTCTGACAGGTGTGAGGTTGTATCTCCTTGTGGTTTTAATTTGCATTTCTCTCATAATTTGTGACCTTGAACATCTTTTCATATGTATATCGACCATCTGTATGTCCTCTTTGGAGATGTCTATTCAGGTCTTTTGCCCATGTTTTCATTGGGTCGTTTGGTGTTTTGGTGTTGGGTTATGTGAGTTCTTTATAAATTTTGGATATTAACCACTTACCAGATGTATCATTGGCAAATATGTTCTCCCATTCAGTGGGTTGTCTTTTTATTTTGTTGATGGTTTCCTTTGCTGAGCAAAAGATTTTTAGTTTAATGTAGTCCAATTTGTTCATTTTTTCTTTGGTTCCCTTGCCTGAGGAAATATATCAGAAAAAAGTATTGCTGCAAGAAATGTCCAAGATTTTACTGCCTACGTTTTCTTCTAGGACTTTTATGGTTTTGAGACTAACATTTAAGTCAAAGTGACTTATTTTGAAAAGAGCAGAGTACTGCTGTTCTTATGTCATCACTGAATGCTTAGTCAAAAATTGATTGTTTTTGTTCACAAGAGTTCAGTAAGATGAACACTCCCATGTATTACTGGTGGGAGTATGTAATGGTAAATATTTTGTGGAATGTAATTTATCAAGAGCTTATAAAAGTTCATTCCCTTTAGTCCAGCAATTCTTCTAGAAATTTATCTATCCTAAAGCCATAGTCAGAAATTTGGATAAAGCATATGCATGGATATGGTTCATTACACTCTCATTTATCAAACCCCAATTTGGAAATTACTTCAAGTAATAAGAGAATGATTATACAAATTGTATCATTTGATGGAATATTAGGTAACTCTAAAACTGTTAACTTTAAAGGTATATAATAGTGTAGAAAAATACCTCCAAAAATTATAAGTAGGAAAAAAAAGCTACAAAATTATATAAATGATGTGATTTTTTCCTACACTGAAGAGAAATCAATAAATCAAAATAATAGTGATTAGACGAGGTAACTATGAGGGATTTTTTTTCTTTTATGTAAACTTTCTTTTCTAAAATTTCTACAATGAACATCTATTCTAGAAATAAAAATAATTCTTTAAGAATTATGATTTTTATATCCATTTTGTAATTTTATAAGACAATGAGTATTAAGTCCAATTTTTATCACATTCATGATCTGAGTTCTTTTCTGAGAAATATCTCCAGTTTTATACCAGAAATAATTAAAATAGGAATAACTTATTATGTTTCAGAAAAACTTGCATTTATATATTTGGTTACATAAGAACTAAGTACTTATTTTGACAACTTTAGATCTGCTCAATTTAGTCTTTGATAGTAACTCTTATAAGAACATATGCAGAAGACAAAATCGGCTCTTATATGAGTATTAGGAGAGAATTCTTTTTATAAGAAAATAGTTCAAATATTGAACTTTTCATCAGTATTAATGAGGTGTTCTTTTTTTCCTTTTTTCCACCTAGGAGCTGTGAGGGAAGAAATATTCGCTATAGAACATGCAGTAATGTGGTAAGTTTTGAGGTTATATGATTGTGATAATGTATTTTTGTTTTGGTATATTTGTTACTTTTATTATTTTTTTAATTCTTGTTTCCTTTTTATTGAATTTATTGGGATGACACAGGTTAACAAATTTATACAGGATTCAGATGCACAATTCTACAAAACATCATCTGTACACTGTATTGTGTGTTCACCAATCCAAGTCTGGTCTCTGTCCATCAATATTTATTCCCCCATACTCTCCTCCACCTCCTCCCATCCACGCTCCCCCTGGTAATCACCACACTATTGTCCATTTCCATGAGTTCATATTTTTTTTCTTTATCCCTCCACTCACTCCAATTCCCCTCCCCAACCCCCAACAGATATTGTAAATAATGCTGCAATGAATGTAGGGGTGCATATATTCTTTCAAACTGGTGTTTCAAGTTTATTCAGATAAATTCCCAGAAGTGGAATCACTGGGTCATATGGCAGTTTCATTTTTAATTTTTTGAGGTAACTCCATACCATTTTCTGCAGTGACTGCACCAATCTGCATTCCTACCAACAGTGCACAAAAAGTTCCCTTTTCTCCACATACTTGCCAACACTTATTTATTGATTTGTTGATGATAGCCATTGTGACAGGTATGAGGTGGTATCTCATTGTGGCTTTAATTTGCATTTCTCTAATGATTAGTGATATTGAACATCTTTTTATACGTCTATTGGCCATCTATAGGTCCTCCTTGGAGAAGTGTCTATTCAGGTCCTTTGCCCATTTTTTCATTGGATTGTGTTGTTGTTGTTGTAATTTTTGAGGGGGTTGGTGTTGATTTGTGTAAGTTCTTTATAAATTTTGGATATTAATCACTTATCAGATGTATCATTGGTGAATATGTTCTCCCATTCAGTGTGCTGACTTTTCATTTTGTTGATGGTTTCCTTTGCTGCAAAAATGTTTTCTTTTGATGTAGTTCATTTTTTTCTTTTGTTTCCCTTGCCCAGGGAGATGATTCAGAAAAAATATTGTTATGAGAAATGTTTGAGATTTTACTGCCTATGTTTTCTTCTAGGATTTTTATGGTTTTGAGTCTAACATTTAATTCTTTCATACATTTTGCATTTAGTATTGTGTATGGTGTAAGAAGGTGGTCTAGTTTCTTTCCTTTTCTTTCTTTTTTTTTTTTTTGCATGTATCTGTCCAATTTTCCCAACACCATTTATTAAAAAGACTGTCTTTACCCCATTGTATGTTCTTGCCTCCTTTGTCAAATATTAATTGACTATAAAGACAAGGGTTTATTTTTCACTTTATTCAGTGTCATTGATTTATGTTTTTACGCCAGTACCATGCTCTTTGATTACTATGGCCTCGTAATATAGTTTGATATTAGGTAGCATAATTCCACCAACTTTGTTCTTTCTCAGGACTGCTGTGGCTATTCAGGGTTTCTTGTGGTTTCATATAAATGTTTGATATATTTGTCCTAGCTCTGTGAAGTACCCACTGATATCTTGATAGGAATTGTTTTGAATCTATAAATTGGTTTGGGTAGTATGGACTTTTTAAAAAGATTTTATTTATTTACTTTTAGAGAAAGTAGAAGGGAGGGAACAAGAGAGGGAGAGAAACATCAATGTGTGAGAAAAACATTGATCATTTGCCTCTTGCACATCCCAAATCAGCAATCAAACTGGCAACCTTTCAGTTTGTAGGCCGGCACTCAATCCACTGAGCCACACCAGCCAAGGCTGGTTAGTGTGGACATTTTAATGATAGTAATTGCTCCTATCCATGAACATGGTATATGCTTCTACTTAAATATCTTCTTCAAATTTTTCTTCAGTGTCTTATAATTTTCTGAGTACAGGTCTTTTACATCCTTGGTTAAATTTATTCCTAGGATTTTTATTCTTTTTTGAAGCAATTATAAATGGGGTTGTTTTCTTAGTTTCTCTTCTGATAGCTCATCATTGGTGTATAAAATGCAACTGATTTCTGGATATTCATTTTGTATCCTGCTACTTTACTGAATTCACTTATCAGTTCTAGTAGTTTTTTGGTAGAATCTTTAGGGTTTTTTATATACAGTATTATGCCATCTGCAAATAATGACAGTTTTACTTCTTCCTTTCCAATTTGGATGAATTCATTTCTTCTTCTTGTCTGATTGCTGTGGGAAGGACTTCCAATACTATGTTGAGTAAGAGTGGTGAGAGCAGATATCCCTGTATGGTTCCCAATCTTAGGGGAAATGCTTGTAGTTTTTAGCCATTGAATATGGTGTTGACTGTGGGTTTTGTCACATATGACCTTTTTTATGCTGAGGTATGTTCCCTCTGTTCCCACTTTGCTGAGAGTTTTTATCATAAATATGTGCTAAATTTTATCAAATGCTTTTTCTGCATTTATTTATTATGATGTGGATTTTATTCTTAATTTTGTTTATGTGGTGTATCACATTTATTGATTTTCCCAGATTGAGAGGGAAGGAATGACAACCAGTCCAAGTGGAGGAGACATAGTAGGCAACTTTGGAGGCAGGAATATTTAAGGTGTGTTCTGAACACTAATTTGAGTAGATTATGCTTGGTAGTATGGAAGAAAAGAATTGAAAGATATTTTTTTGTAGTGTTTTCAGCTGTGTTCTCCAATTATTTTTAATTTATTTTAATTTATTTTTTCAAATACATTTGTCTCTGCCTACCCCCCACCACTTTCCCTTGCCCCCTCCCTCCATCCCTCCCTCAGCTCTTCCCCTTTGGTTTTGTCCATGAGTCCTTTTAGATTACATCATGAATAGATTTGAATGCTGCACTTCCAAGTTTGTATTATTTCAATGAATAATGGGGGGTCACTAGAGGTTTTGGAGCAAGGGTATGACATTATAGTTTCACTTTAGGAAGTTTAATTCTTTAGTGATATGAGGGATGCACTGGAACAGGAAATAAGTGAGGAGCAAAAAGTAATGAGAATTTAACCAGGAAGAAATAAATACAAAAGAGATCAAAATTGAGATCACTTTGCAAGACTTAAGCAATTAAAATGGGAGTGATGAGTTGAAGTAGGAATAAAGAAAACAGAGGCATATGTGTATTTAGAGCTCTTGTCCTTGCTGATCCCACTGTTAGAGAAGCTCTTGCATGGTAGACATTTTCCTTAGTCTACTTACTCTCAGCTCAAATGCAGCCCCCTGAAAGAGGTTTCCTGGACCATTTTATCTAATTTGGTTGTCCCACTGCCCAAACTCATCCTTCACAATAGTCTGTCAATCACATTTCACTTTTCTTATAGCACTTACCTCTACCAAATTTATGCAATATAATTACTTATTTGTTTTCTATTTTCCCAGCCTAGAATGTAAATTTCACAAGAATAGGAGCCTCATTCATCTTGTCCACTACTGTATATCCAATGCCTAGAACTGTTGACTTACATGTAATAAGCATACAGTAGATATTTGCCAAATGCAAAAAGAGTACCCAGGCTTTTGGAAGAATGTCAAATGTCATTATCAAATGTAAGAAAGTTGGGAGGAAGTTTTGGAGAAGAAAATAATAAATTTGATTTAGGGATACAACTGAGTTAGATATGCAGACTGGACTTGTACCTGATATGTTCGACTAGGCAATGGGTGTTTCATTTAAGGAAAGAGATCAGGGCTCAAGCCATAGTAACACAAAGTAAGAAATACAGAATTTGAAGATTTGGTAGCAGTTTGTTTGGTACAGTGGATAGAATGATGAGAGAAGAGAATCTCAGGACTCTGGTGAATGTCTACATTCAGGAAGAAAGGGGACACAGTGCCAGGTAAGCCATCAAAGGCACCTTGAGAGAAGTAAAAGAAGAAATAAGAGAGAATTCCTGATGATACTCAATAGGATAAATGTTGAGAAGAAGTTCAAGTATGAAAAAGGGCTAATGAGGCCCCTTTCATACTTACAGTATATTAGGAACAAAATCATGATTACAAGGAATTAAAAAGATATATTCACAAGGAAATGGAGTCTATGGGTATGGGCTATTCTTATAAAGTATTAACTGAGACATCTCATGATTTGTAGAGTCACGAAAGGGTGGGTAAGTTGTTTACAATGAGAGGATCTTGAGAGATGAGCTGATCTAGAGCAGCAGTTTTCAACCTCTTTCATCCCATGGCACCTCTAAACTAATTACTGAAATTCTGCAGCACACTAAAAAGTATATTTTTTGTCAAGCTGACAAAAGGTAATTTTGATTCACTCACACTGAATGGCTATTGTATTGACTGTTGCTATTTTTTTATTTGACATACTAAGGGAAAAGAGGTCGGTGCCCCTGACTACATAGTCAGGTATTGCATGTTTTAAAAATTCTTGCAGCACACCAGTGTGCCACTGCACACTGGTTGAAAATTGCTGAGCTGCTAGAATGCAGACTTGATTATGGGAAAGTTGACTTTCCTCCTACCTTAGGTGTGGCTCTTGGCTGGAAAACGGCCCAACATTCAGGTTCCCTAACTGACTCCTGCAGTTATTATTTACTACAGCATCTGTCTAGACTCCAGAGGTATTTTCACTGGTCTGAATGTTGTTCCAGAAGTTTTGTGTGTGTGTGTGTGTATGTGTGTGTGTTTTCAAATTCTGATCAAGGAAAGCCTGTAGCATAATGTTCATTCCTTACATGTGTTACTATTTGACTCTTGAAATAAGGCATAAATGTGCTCTGACTTTATGCTATACAAAGGCCATATGAGGAAAAAAATGGACAGATGAGTCAAATGGGAATCTACCTTGTATCAACCATTAAGAACAATGTGGAGGGGGAATCAAGATGGCGGAGGAGTGAGTGGAAGTCACAGTGACCTCCTCCCGGGACCAACCTGGAATTACAAATAAATGGTGGAGAAATCACCTGAACAAACAACTGAACAAGAGTGAGAGAGGAGCCTCATAACCTCGGAGACAAAAGAATTGGCTTTAGCGCAATCTAACTGCCACTTACCCTGGTCTCCGGCAAAGGCGGGAGCATAGGAGGATAG